TCTTTCATTCCTAAGTGCAAAATTTAGTCCCTTCTTGAGGAGTTCTTCGGTTTCCAGGTCAAGAGGGGCTGAAGACAGATTTGCTACTTTATCTTCATCCGTTGTCTTAACTGTGAGATCCGTCATTCTAGAGTCCTCTTCATTTTTGTCTGGTGGCTTGATCTTGGTCCGCCTATAAATCCCATATTTATTCAGCTCTTTCTGGTGCCATTTTTTATTAAGTCCGAGATCATTTTGAACATTTTCTCTGTCATCTTTTGTAGTTTCAGAAAATCCTCCATGGTGAGAATCTGAGTTAAATCATTACTGAGTATAGATTTAATATCTCAACACTTAAATAATTTTCCCCTCGTCACCAGTCCCACTATAAAAATGTGAAAAGCCTTTTGATAAGCAAATCCTGACTTTGATCATATAATTTTGAGAAATTTATCTATTAGTTCGTCATATCTCAAGTGACCTAAGGTGATTTGGGTTTATAGCTTTCCTCAGCTTGTACTCCGCAAGTGTGTCACAGAAAAGACGTGACTTTCAAATCAAGCCAAGCCTCATATCACAATTTTTCTAGTGGCAATGTCAACGATACTACTTATCACAACTACAAGTAATGCTGTCTATAGTATTTGCAGATACATAAGTGTTCATCTACAATCCCACTATTAAACAAAAGGACGTAGAGGAGGCGGTGAAAGTCACGTCTGCTCTGGAAGTAACATGTAAAAAATAAACACCTCACAAGGCGGGTTTGATCATTGTTGGGGGTGCTGAAGAGGCCCGTGCGGGGTAGAAATAGCAGTCCGGCCCAGCTTCTGAGGCAAAGTTTGGTGAAACTAAACCACATAAAATTGTGGAAAAATTCATTTATCACTCCTTCATCCTTTTAAGCTATCGATGATGATTAAAATATATTATTCAAGATCTTTTGGTGGTTCTCTATTGCTACTAATTGCCACTTTATTGTTTAACTTTCATATTTCCTTATCTCATGAAATGGCATTGCAGCAAGATTTCAAACTTCAGTGAAAAATATTACATCCAAATCATATGATAAAGTGCCCAATATGCAGATGTGAATGCGTTGGCATACCTCATATACGGCCTTTTAATTATCCTCGCACTCCCTGGGACAATCCTGAAAATTTCATAATTTAAATCATGGAACACTTATA